AAGACGGCTGAATATGCAACTTAATTCTTCAATTAATTTCTATCTAGAACTAGTTTTTGAGTTTGAAATGATAAATGGTGGCGTTGGAGTTCATTACGCATTATAATTCTGAAATGGAAACTAGTTTCAAGCGGTTCCTATGTTCATAAACATGCTTCAAGTACCGACTTTTGAGCGATCACCTTCGCTCCTTGGGAGTACTCAATTGATGTTACTATAAAGCTACCAATTTGTCAATTTTCGTTCCACAGTCAAACTTATGAGAAAAAAATTGCGCTTTATTTAACGTTTCGTATAAATCGGCTTTTTCACGGCGCGCGCTTCCCCGCCTAAAAGGAACATGTATAATAGTATCAAGTGGGAACCCACTATGTGGTCAGTGAGCTGAAGCCGAGGGGGAACGGGGGCCGTCTCCCTCAATCCTCCACTGTTGATTAACGCCTCCAAACAGAACCGACTGCCATTTTGCTTGTATTGAAACTCTCATGGAATACTATATATTTTGACTGATATTATGTAGCAACCGCTCACAAAACGCATTCATTTTTGACAAACTGCCCTCACTTTTTTATAGTGTAACAGCATTCAGATACCATTTCGTCATTAGAAGAGGTATTACCGGTCATTGAAAGAGTTCAAGTGACCATAACCGGTCATTGGAAGAGTTCAAGTGACCGGTTATTACATGGATTTCCTTGACAGATAATCCAAAACACGAGGCAAGCATGATTTTAAACCAATTGTTAAATTAATAAAACTCACTCTCAACTCTTAGCCATGTGGGTTTACACACCATTATTCAAGATAGAGCCTGTCCGGCTTTGAAGCAGAATTGCTTCTGTGGCATTTCTGATGTGTGTTTAACACTGACACATCTGTTCTTCCCAATTTGTAGTCAAAGCACTGGCTCTAAAAATGCAAATAAGACTGTTGAGTAAACGTTGCATTGCGTCTATTTCAGATCATTTGGTCGATTTGAAGTTTTTCAACAAACTTCAAATTACACTGACAAAAATAGTCTTAAAAACCAACAATTTAGGCAGACAAAAACAACTGGGCTCATAAAAAAAATCATTTTTATCGAATTTTGTTTGTAGACTAAAGCAAAATGACGGATCTTTGAAATCAAATAATTATACTTGATCGCTTCTATTTCAGATCTTTTGGTCGATATGAAACTTTTCAACAAATTTCAAATTACACAGACAAAAATGGTCCTTGAAAACCTACAATTTTGCGCAGTCAAATAACAAAAAGTTGGTTTTCAAATGGTCCTTGAAAACTAACAATTTTGCGCAGTCAAATAACTGGGTTCATCAACAAAAATCATTTTTTGATAGCATTTGAATTGTAGACCAAAGCAAAACGGCGAACATTTGAAACCATATGGTGATTCTTAATCGCTTATATTTCAGTTAGTTTGGCCGTTTAAAATTTTTCAACAAATTTTAAATTACGCAGACAAAAATGGTCCCTGAAAACCAACAATTTTGCGCAGTCAAAAACAACTTAGCTCAACAACAAAAATCATTTTTGTAGCATTTGAATTGTAGATCAAAGCAAAAGGCGAATTTTTGAAAGCAAATAATGATACTTAATCGCTTCTATTTCAGATCATTTGGTCGATGTGAAATTTTTCAACAAATTTCAAATTACACTGACAAAAATAGTCTTGAAAACCAATATTTCGAGCTGCAAAAACAACTTTGCTCATCAAAAAAGTTTGTTTTTATCGCATTTAATTAGAAGCGGAGTTGCGCTTCGTAAAAACCAGCAAATTGAACGGTTTAACTAATGAAAACTAGGAACAAATCAACTCGTTTTAAGTTTTTATCACCGCCTTCTCTTGTTATGTGCGATAGAGCAAAGAGCGCATTACTTACTTTTAGTTGGTCAAATGTAGCAATTAACAATTTTTGTAGAAAAATATGCCTCTAAATTAATCTTATTAATTTCGAATCTTATTACGTTTCATTCAACGACCATATGTTTTTGCACCACAAATCATGAAAAACACGCAAACTGAAGTTGATACAAAAACCTTGATGTCGATTTTTTTTGACCAGGTCGAGAAAAGCTAGATTACCAAAATGTTCATCTCTTTATTAAATAAAACGACAAAAACTTGAATTTGCAACGAATCAAAACTTACGAAGCGGTAATAAAGCCGTCAATTTTCGAGCAGGCACACGTTCAACCAAAAAAAAGAAAAACTGTTTTCCTAGAAAAGCTCAATTAAATTTCAAACCGAATTAAATACCCAATTAAAGATTAAGAAACTTGTTTCGCTCATCCAACGGAGCAATTTGATGACAGTAATCCGATTGAACCGTTCAACCTTAATTTCGAATCTTATTACGTTTCATTCAACGACCATATGTTTTTGCACCACAAATCATGAAAAACACGCAAACTGAAGTTGATACAAAAACCTTGATGTCGATTTTTTTTGACCAGGTCGAGAAAAGCTAGATTACCAAAATGTTCATCTCTTTATTAAATAAGACGACAAAAAGTTGAATTTGCATCGAATCAAAACTTACGAAGCTGTAATAAAGCCGTCAATTTCCGAGCAGGCACCCGTTCAACCAAAAAAAACTGTTTTCCTAAGCAAGCCTAATTACGTTTCAAACAGAATTGAATACTCAATTAAAGATTAGGAAACTTGTTTCGCTCATCCAACGAAGCAATTTGATGACAGTAATCCGATCACGGATAAGCAGAAAAAAAATTTTTAAGCTCAAAAACCAAATGTCTACTTGAGCGCTTATGAAACTTGTTTCGCACATCCAGCGACGCAATTTGGCGCCACTAATCCGATTACGGATAAAGCCAAAAAAAACTTCAAGCCAATTAAACCAAATATCCATTTAAGAGCTTAGGAAACTTGTTTCGCTCATCCAACGACGCAATTTGATGCCACTAATCCGATTACGGATCAGTCAAAAACCTTTAAGCCAATTAAGCCAAAAAACTGTTAAAAAAGGAAACAAGAATAGGCGGTTACTGTGCAAGTAGCACTAAGTGTTCCGCCCTAGTCTTTAAAAAACTACAAGTTTTTTTTCAAATTAGTGTAGTTTTTTTTGCGTGGCGTGATGAAAAGATTTGAGCCAACACTGTAACTTAAGCATATTCGACAGTCATAGTAATATAGGCAAACAAAACCACACTTTTGGAGAAAAATTACTAGAAAATAAAAAAAATCATATACGAGCAATATTTTTTTATAGTTTTTTGCAGAAATTGTTCCAAATTTTTGATTCCCAAAGTGGCAATTAAAATTTCCTAAGACTAATTTTACTCAATTGAAATTAAAATTCAGCAAAAATGAGTTATTGTAACGACCTTAATTAAGCATAAATAAGCGTTCTCGCTCGCTGTACGCGCTCGAATTTTGAAAAAAAAAATCAAAAATTTCAAACCGTTTTTCTCGACACTGAGAAAACTTTTTTGAAGTTTTCCAACGTCGTTCGAATCACGACTAAAAGAGCTTTAATATGATATATCCTTCAACTCTTTGCGATGATAATTGGTTGTAGCTGATTTTGCGTGGAAATTTAAAAAAAAAACTTTAAAATCACACCTGAATACGAAGTTCCTCCTCATTTTTCAATTGGTCGTAATAAAAACATTATTTACACCCAACTGGTGTTTGTAAACTTAAAACTAACATAACATTTTATAGAATAGAACCGGTAATTGAAACGCAGACAAGCTCAAAACATTTAGCAGGACAAGTCAAAATGATTCAGTGACACTGTTGGACAAGATGTTCACAAAATCATTATTTTCCAAAATGAGAAAACTTGCTATTCGCGAACATAGAAATCGCATGCATAATAAATCCGTGCAAACTATTCTGCGAGGCAAAATTAATTCTTTTTTATTTCATGTTTGGACAATCATTGCTAAGAGAAAAGCTCTGACCTTGTAGCTAAAAATCAACAATTTTCCTGCTACTTCTAAGGACGTATAAATCGCTTCTAAATTTTTCTTCATTTGAGTTAGCAAAAAAGACGGCTGAATATGCAACTTAATTCTTTATTTAATTATTATCTAAATCTAGTTTTCGAGTTTGAAATTGTAAATGGTGGCGTTGGACTTCATGACGCGATCTAATTTTAAAATGTAAGCTAGTTTCAAGTGGTTCTTATGCTCATAAACATGTGTCAAGTACCGACTAATGAGCGATCACCTTCGCTCCTCGGGAACTACTCAATTGATTTCACTATAAAGCTCCCAATTTGTCAATTTTCGTTCCACAGTCAAACTTATGAGAAAAAAAATTGCGCTTTATTTGACTTTTCTGAACAAAAAATTGCTTTTTCACGGCGCGCGCTTCCCCGCCTAAAAGGAACATGTATAATAGCATCAAGTGGGAACCCACTATGTGGTCAGTGGGCTATAGCCGAGGGGGAACGGGGGCCGTCTCCCTCAATCCTCCACTGTTGATTAATGCCTCCAAACAACCGACTGCCATTTGCTTGTAATGAAACTCTCATGGAACACTATATATTTTGACTGATATTATGTAGCAACCGCTTACTGAACGCATTCATTTTTTGACAAACTGTCCTCCCTTTTTACTAGTGTAACAGCAGTCAGATACCGTTTCGTCATCGGAGGAGTTCAAGTGAGCGGTTATTACATGGATTTCCTTGACAGATAATCCAACAGGAGGCAAGCATGATATTAAACCAATTGGTAAATTCATAAATCTCACATTTAATTCTTAGCCATGTGGGTTTACACACCTTTATTCAAGATAGAGCCTATCCGGCTTTGAAGCAGAATTGCTTCTGTGGCATTTCTGATGTGTGTTTAACACTGACACATTTGTTCTTCCCAATTTGTAGTCAAAGCAGTGGCTCTAACAATGCAAATGTGATTGTTGAGTAAACATTGCATTGCGTCTATCACAACAAACGGGTCTCTCAAAGTAGAACAACCGCGGGCACAACTCATTCCGCGCTTAGCGGGTAGAATCGGATAGGAAAAGACAGTTTATACAAAACTAAACTAAGAATAGAAGAAGAACTAATCGAAATATAGACTTATTTTACAAAAGCTGCCCCGTAACTGAAAGCAGCCACAAACAGCGAGACCAGTTATAGTACTTGCTGTTACTTTATGTTCAAAAATGTTAAACAGTTTTAATTTACGGCTAAAAAGAAGTTGAAAGAATAAAGATTAAAAGCTTAGTTGATACACTCAACAACCATTTATCTCTTTTCAGAGCAAACTGCGGTTAACAGACCATAAGTAGTTTAGTCAAACTTTGGTGCCCAAATAACCTACTCTTAATGGTTAAAACGAAAAAGTTCATGGACAACCAAGAACATGTAACGAATTTAAAAGCGCAAAGCTCCGTAGCACCTTTACTCAAACATAATAACAAGATTACCAGAGCATTTTAACATTCATAATGAATCATCAAAACGACAAAATTTGCGACCTTATAGAGTGTAACCAGAAGGGGGTAAAACTTTCAACATTTTGTAATTTCTAGCTACACCCGTCTAATTACTGCTAGACAATAAAGTTAGAACTTTGTCGTGAGTAAACTATAATACATCAAAATGAAATAACGATAATCGTAATCATGTACACAATGCTTTTGGAGCATTAAACCAAAGACAGAAAAGAAACTAAAGGTGGCTCGTTCTCGAAAGAAGGTGAGAACTTCAACAGCGAGTGATGAGCAAATCACTTTAATTATTTCCTGAAGATAGTTTTAACTTTGAGAAGTTCTGGGATAGCTGTTGCGGGCTTCCCTTATTCATTTGGGTTGCTGTGTTGGGCACGATATGCTCTGCCAGGGGATTGTTGCCCGCTGTGCGGGTCTGTCTGTTAGCTGAGTATGGTTTGTCTCCATACTGGGCCGCTGCTCCCTTCTGATTCAGACCACTATTAGGGGTCCCCATGTTATGTTCGGTGAACAGTCCCATCTGTGGGTTGATGGCGCCTGAGCTGATCATGTCGCCGTTCCTAATGAACAACTAAATGTTAAGCACTCGACTGTTGCTCATACTGCTAGATATTACGCACTCCAGTTACTCATTTGGGTGTTTGTGTTGTTTACGCTAAAACACCCCGACCCCCACCCTCGCGTTAGGCGTGCTGTTTGACCCTTTTCAACACCTGGTCAACTTAATTAATCTCGACTCAACGGCGCAATGAACTAATAATCAAATTATTTTTTCATGAGTTAAAATCCAAGAGAAGCATTGTGCACTATGTTTTGAATGAAGCGCCAAGCTGCAAATATTCACTCTTGTTTTGCATTTAAGGCTCATGAAAAATTGAAATGAACATTGCTGTATGTATACCTGTTGGATTGTAAGGCTCCACTGGCTTCCATAGCGTTTGACTGTGTCACACCCTGGTGCGCATTATTAGTGGATGTTTTCTGTTTGTTATCCAACCCAGGTGTCTTCATGATATTCCAGTCGAATATGTAGTCGTACGTATAGCCCTGTCTGTGATACAGATTCCTGAATAGCTGCCTCAAGTATCCGTAGTCTGGCTTTTCGTCGAAACGCAGATTTCTTGCATAGTTGAAGAAGGATGCGAACTCAGCTGTAAGTAAATAAACACGGAAAATCTTAAGAGTTTAAAGCGAAACGCAGTATAAATGTATCACTTAAGCATTTATCATTGAGTAGTTCATGTTTTTTACTGACTATAATAACTGAGAATGACGTAGCCAATAATTGTTTTAGATTAAATATTCAGGTCGGATACGCGTATATCTCCATAGGGGACCGACCTTTTACCAGAAAAGTTATAACATGGAACAAATTTAACATGGATAACAAGAGACTCGATGATAAACAAATTTGGTTGACAGATGTAATGACGCCGTTTATTCTGGTTAAAGACAGTGTTTTCACGGTTTCTCAGCAAAGTTGTGTTTGTTCTAACCGCTTCCTTTTCGAATCTTCCTCTAATTTAAATTTATCTTAATTGAATTATTGCATTATGGTCTGGTTAACGACCTAGCCCTATCTCCTTTCCATATGCTTCAATCAATATTTGTACATGTATATCTTGAGCTCCAAATCTGATTTGAGTTAACATTTATGTTTTTAAAATAGATATTTCTCGGTTCCGGTTTTGACTGCATTTTGCTCATCTGAAATTTTTGCTCATAAACAGCCAACAGATGGTTAGAAAAGTGTTAGAGAACTCAAGTGAGACATAAAAGTTTTTTTGAAAATGTTTGAACTATTTTCAATTTCAAAATTCAAAGAAAAATTTTACCAGGTTAATTTGAAGAATTGTTTATAATTGGCGCTTTTTCCAGAAAATTATTCCATTTCGAGAAAACTGGATCAAGAATACTCTTTGTATTCCGCAGTTAGTTCAGATAATTAAGTCCATTTTGAAACCAGAAGTCATTCACACTTTGTGGAATTTGCCTTCCTTTCAACAAAAAAATGAACTGGACTAAGTCAAACCGCGATAGATCAAACTTGCTCGAGCACAAACGTTACTAGTTTTTCCAGAAACAAAATCATCAAGGCCAATATAAAAGAGCATCACTTCGTTATTTTGACTTACTTGGCTGTGTCTTGCATAAAACTTCCACGGGTGTTTTCATCTTCTTTTCAGATATTTTGTCGTATTTCTGTTTCTTGTTAGCCGCTTTTAATCCCTGCCATGGAAGTGAACCTTGCATGCAGTATACCAGCACATAGCCGAGAGATTCTAAGTCATCGCGCCGACTTTGTTCTAAATTGCATAAAATGAAAATAGAAAACAGTTTAACTACGCAATTAAAAAAAAACAGAAAAGTAATTTACCAATTCCCATGTGTGTGTTTATACTAGCATATCTTGCAGTTCCAGTAAGGTTTTTGTTTTCTCTGTAAGGAATATGTTGATGAGTTCTGGGATCCCTATACTTTTTGGCCAGTCCGAAATCGATTATGAAAATAATATTCCCTTTTTTGCCAACACCCATCAAAAAATTATCTGGTTTAATGTCGCGATGTAGAAAATGTTTCATGTGGACATACTCCACGCGAGTTAACAGCTGGTCTGCAATTAGAAGAACTGTCTTCAGGGAAAACTTTCTATTACAGAAGTTGAAGAGATCTTCTAAACTTGGACCCAAAAGTTCCATCACCATAACGTTAAAATCTCCTTCCGCGCCGCACCATTTAATGGAAGGAATTCCTATTCCACCTTGAAGAAGTTTGTAAAATTTGCTTTCCAGATGAAGCTGTGGATGCTTGGTTTTGACACATTCTAGTTTGATCGCAACTTCTTCGTTCGTTTGGACATTTGTTCCATAATAGATTTCTCCAAACGATCCACTGCCTATCTTCCGCCCGATACGATACTTATTTCCAACTCTGAGTTCCATGTAATCTGTCTGTGCTAGTATAATAGCATATCCTACCTAACAATAATAATTGATTGGCTTGAATTTTTGATTGATCAAACTCTTCAATTCTTCAAATTTGCGCCGAAAAGTTCATTACAATTTAATCTGTAAAGGTCAAAACTTCAGTTCAAATTGCACTACAAACGAATGATGATGACGGTTTTGCTTTCAATAAATGGTAGCCACAGTCCAACACTTTTGAACCTCTTATTAATGTTTCGCAAGATAAATGGGCGCAAGATATTTTAAACACAAATGCGATGCAGAGCTTCGCAAACTTGTGGTACAATTAAAACATTACAAAGGAAAATATTAAAAGGGAAAAGGAAGTCCATTGTCTGAAAAAATTACTAATAAAAAGTAGACGAAACTACATCTACAAAAATTTTCTGCATTCATCTCGAATGATGTTCATAAACAGCCTTAACGGGCTTTAATAAGATACATCACCTAATTGTTGTGATAAACTTATTAAATAGTTTCATATCTCGAAATGTCAAGACGAAATCGACGATATGCTCACTCTGTCTCCGATGTTCCTGGTGACTTGTGTGGGAAGTGCTGTAACATACGCCCGGAAGTACATATCGACGGAAAATAAAGCTAAGCTATAAAACGACTTGCCAGCGTCTAAACAAAGCTCTACATGCTTTTCACCGTCTCTACCAAAGCCAGTTCTTTCGGTGGTCTTTCTAACATCGGGTCGACAAAAACGTTACTGCTTTCGGCTTCGGTCAAAACACTCAAATTAACTTAATTTTACGCAAGAATAGTGAGCTCATGGCTGGGTCTCAGTATCCCCAGACCACGAGGTCACTCCTAAAAACAGGGCTACTACTATTTATTATATAACTATTGTTTTTGTTCAGTAGATAAAAATCATCATCTCCATCGAAGATGGATCAACCCTTTCCCTCAACTACTAGCTTCAAGTAACATTCGTCTACTGCAGTCACACATGAGGCTTAAGAAAAATAGGCCCTATAACCATTGGCTCAAGAGTCAGGGACACTATCTCTTGTGTTTTTCTACCTCAAATCAGTCGGAGCCAATTCGGTTCGTTTGTGACATGAGAATACGACCCGTTACAGCTTAAAGGCTACTACTAAAATATCCCCCCACTCTAGAATTAAGAACGTCCCCATACTTAGGTCTCTAGACACCCAAAATAAATGAACGCCGTTAAAAACCGGGTCGGAACAATTTGTTAAGTTACTTTTTATTAGACAGTGGAACTTTGATCCATTTCAGATGGATCAACCTAAAACTCGCCTTACCTCAACATAACAATTATAAAACACACTCTAGAAATTTAAATTAAGTACTCACATTGTAGCACGCTCAATGATTGGGAGTAATCAAGTCGGTAAGCAACTCAAGAATTAAATAATGTAACTAAATGAGCTTAATGTTTGTCAGTTTCAACAACAGGAATAAGTTTGTACTCTAGAATGCAGTTTTATGTGGACCATTGGGACACTCAAGCTGTCCACCTTTCCACCGAAGGTTCACTCTGGTCCAGTTCAAATAGTTGACCAGTTGGATAATTGTCCAGTTCTCAGGAACACTTTGTCTTCTATTTCAAATTGGACAGCTCTACTCTAGATTATTTTTGTGTCGGAAATTGCGAATAGCAATTTCCTACTGATTTATCTTGCAACTTTCCCGCGATTGTTACTCGATTGTTCTCATTTCTCTTTTTCGGTTTTCAGTTATCGCGAGAAAATCGTGCATGACAGGCTCCATTCGAATTTTTGAAAAATTAAATTTCACCCCAAAATTAAGTGCTCTTGTTTTTCTCAAGGTCAAACTTCCAAATATGACCGACTGGCACATACTCCCCGGACTCAAGATCGATGTCCTCATCGCGTGCTGTCGTCTGCCAGTGAGTCCCAAAAAACCGAGTGTTGCTCAAGGTACAGTGCCAGTGGTCATTTACAGAAGTTTGCAGCAGACTTAAGCTTATCTACACCCCAAAATTCACAGCCATGTAAAATTTTCACACTATCGCTAAACAGCAATCAAAATCTGCACACACCTGCACCCTTGAATTCTCGCTTTTCAAGCCATTATTTAAAATTTCTTTTGTCCCATTCAATTAGGAAATTGTTATGCAGCATTATGATTTATATAATAGATATAGCATATTAATAACAATATTTGATTCGTTAAAATTTCTTTTTCGTGAATCCAGGTTTCACCCGGATCCACACTCAAGCCCCCCTTCCCTCTCAAGACTCAAGATCCATTCGAACCATCCACTCATCTCGCACTCTTCGCCTTGGAGGTGCCGCACCCTGAAGTACTAGATACGGCAAACTGTCTCAACAGTTCTTCTTCATCATCGGAGCTAATCACGATCTCCTCCCAAGCCTTCAGCTGTTCATAGGATCGCATCCATTCTCTTTGCTCCTGCAACCTCTTTGCCTGGTTGGGTAGTGCCTTCACCCTAGATTCCCGGTTCAAACAAAAGGAGTTGTGCAGGCTCAAGCTCACGTTCTTCGCCAGGTCCTCCTCTAGTATCGATTCCCTCGCTTTGGTATTGTCTCTAGACATTTTACCCACTCTCTTCCATCCTGTCGTGATCGCATTTTGATGGGTCAACAGGGGTCTCTTGAAAGCTTCCGGCCCAATCTCGGCCTGGAACTGTCGATACTCCTTTTGATGCTTTCTCATGTGATCTTTCGTTGTCATGTACAACCAAGACGTCAGTGTCGCCCGAAACCATGGAAAGTACCTCAAACGGCTCCATACGGGTCTGACTTCCGTTGGTACGGCGAATACTTTGCACGCAGTCTCAAACAACTCGAGTCTCCTGCTGTAGTCTATCGCGTATATTGACTCAGCCGTTGGCGTCGTTGCTTCCCGATACTTCGTTATATTCTCTTCTCTCCATCTCAGAGCCAACATCGTACTCACTACTAAGAGCGTCACCTTCTGCCGGTGATCCGGTAGTCCGATCGACCGAACTTCTTCCATAGCCCACACCAGGCATTGGTTCTTGTGATCTGGATACCACACCGTTTGTGCCAAACAGTGGCATGGGCATTCTCCATGGGATGATCTCAATGCTCCTGAGGTTACGCTCCCCCGAGGCTTCCAAGAGAGGCTCAAGCTCTATCATTTTCTCATGCATCGTGTCGCTATCTTCCATGTTTGGGGCACCTCCCACAGGTTTTCCAATCACGTTTTGTCTCTCGTGATCGCTTGTGTTCTCACTCTCCAACTTCAAAAGTTCTTCTCCCCAGATTTCACTCAAGTCATCTCTCAATTTTTTTGGTACTGTCCCTCTGATTTTTCTCAACAGCTTGTGCGAGTGATGCGATATCCGAGCCAACCTCACGCACTTGGGCACTGAGAAGGCCTTGTCCACCAGTACTCTCTGGCTGGATGCTTCCACCATCGCTATGTGCAGTGGGTAGTGGCTTCCGCACAAGTTGGCCATCATTGACCCTATCAAGGATTTTGCGTTCAATGGCAGGCCATAAGCTTCGCTCATGGGAAACCCCATTTCCGCCTCGAGACCAACCTTCCAGCTCTGGATGTGTTTTTGAGTCACCTGCAACACCCCAGGCCATGATTCTACGCTCAACGCCGTCACTAAATGGTGTTCAGACTCTAGCCTCTCCAGTGACTGCAGACTACACATTCTCGAGAAGAATCCGAGAGCTGTCGCTATATTCACCGTAGTTCTCGCATAACACTCCGCAACTATTTGCACTTCACTTTTCTCCCTTTCCGTGATGTCTTCAAACCAAGTGACCAGGTCTTCTTTTCGAAAGGATAGTATCCTGACACATGACCGTCCATCGCAGGTGTGCTCTCCGTTCCCACACGTCGAATCCAGACAGCTACCCGGTTCCATCTTCTTTGCTGACCCGAGCTTGCTCGTCTTTTCGCCTGACTCCTGCATCTGAGGTGAGATTAGCTTGTGCAACACACTCAACTTTGCCAGATCTTCATCTTCCGTTGGTGCTAACCTCACTCGCTCGGTGGTTTCCTCGATCAGACTCGCGTGGGGATGTGGACACCAGGAGGGTCTTAGTAGCTTCCATACCACTCCCAAGTTCGTGATTAACAAGCCATTTCCATCGCCCATGTTCACTTCAACTCTCTTGTTCGAGCGCGGTATGCTTACCACCTCTGGTGTTTTCTCAAGAATCAGGCCCAGGCTCGGCCCCTCTTTCTCCACCGCGTCTATTTCCACTATTCTTTCTGTCCAAAACTTCAGTAGCTCCGCTATCTCGTGGTTCCTGTGAGCGCCTCCAGTTTCTGAGTCTAAGAAGGGATTGTAGGCTATTCCCATCACTCCCGACACGTATTGGTACTCCCCCTTCTCGCTGAGTCTCGAGTACTGCTCTGACGAGGCCAGGTTACGGTGAACATCATGCTCTTCTTCGAACTTCTTATTATAAAATCTCCGTACCTCGTCTAGCTTTCTGTGGTTCTCTAGGGATAGTCTGGAACCATCTTCCTTTTCTATTCCTGTACTCTGATACACGTTCAAGATGATCGTTGAGACTCTTTTTTCCATGGTTTTACCTCCGCTTGCTCTCTGGTGGCATGCCAAGATGGTACTATCAGACATCATTGACATTATCCATCTCAAGAAACATGTGGCATCCTTCCTCCTAGCCAGGCTCAAGCCTGAATTGTCCCTGGCCACGTGTTGCATCAGTGCTTGATACACATCTAGCTTCTTGCTTCCCAACTTCAGCCTGTCATACGAGGTCAATGTCTCCAACTCTATTCCCACCAGACTCCAGGTGAACATCAATTGTCCTGCAGTTCTAACGAAGGGATTCGCCATCAATGGCGGTGCTGATGAGGGTGTCCTCATTGCCTCTTCAAAATGATCCTTCAACAAGTTCTGCCAGGACCTCTTCAGCTGATTCGCCATTTCTATTTTATTAACCTCGGCCTTTTGCTGGGTGGCCCAATTGCGTCGCTTGCGAGCTACTCCACTGTCCAACTTCTTCAAGCAGTCCTCCATTTCCTTCATTGTCTCGAGGGCCACCCACCACGTCCGGGAGGTGTTCCTCGTCTTGTTCCTCTCCAATGGATCACTCGTCACTTGCTTGCCCGTGGCCTGGTGTGCCTTCGAGATCCATTCTTTGCCGACATCCACTTCCCATGTCTGTCCGTTCGTTGAACCTCTCTTTACGTTTATCTTCTGAGGCTTGAAGTCTTCCTCCGATGTCGAACTGGTGGAAGCCTCTATTTCCCTCTCTACTTCGAGTGGTCTTCTGAGCTCCGAGCTGCTCTTGTATGCCGCCGTCTTGCATCGAGCCAAAACCATGGGCGCCGTCTCTCTCAAGTTTCCTTCCGAAACAGCATCCACTGAAGGACTACCCAATCCCTCCACTTCTCTCTTCCTCTTGCGAGTCTTCACATCTCTGCTTGAGGGTGTTGTGGCTATCATCACTGATTCGACCTCTCTGTCTACCTCCAATCCTTCCAACTCTTGCCTCCCCCCT